TCCAATGATTGCTAAGCCAGAATCCATCTTCTCGGTTGAAATTGTATACGTATACATTTTTTTAAGGAAGATTTATGATGTTTAAGGGAGGAAACAAGGTATTCCAAAACGTTGGTGGTGCTGCAACAGAAAAGGCCGTGTCAACTATTGCGATTCTTGTTCTTGGGATAATGAAAAGAAAAAATGGATGTATGAGATGATCTCATCTCTTCATCTGCAGGCCAACATTTTTTATCGGCAGGTATTAGTATTTACTGTATATGTTTTTAGTCACTTGCTCACATTTCCTAAGTTTTGCACTCCTATCGTGTTTCGCATTGTGTATGGTTGTTGTAGATCGAAACTTACTGAAAATATCGTCATAGCTCGTCGGATTCCCTCCAGGATGAATTATAACACAGATTCACTCCATGGCTGGTAAAAAGACGTTTGCCATGTTTATGGGATAGGTGACCCTTGAACGAGTGCTGTTAGCTCGATGGGCCTTAACCGTGTCAATAAAGTCTCAGTCTGTTCAACATTACGATACAAACTAAGAGACTAGATATTTATTTCGTGCAGGGTTTGGGCGACCTTTCAGAGAAGAAGAAGAGAGGAAAGCTCTAACCCTAGAATATCCGACAATTCGTATCTCTTTGCCATCCGCATAGCTGGAATTATTGCCTTCATCATCTTCATCGTCGCTTGTGGTTCTTATTACCTGGCTGTGGAGGAGGAGAAGTGACGGAGCTCCGATGAGCGTGAGAGACATCTGTAGTTGCTGTGAATTCACTCGGACGACAACCGCCTCTTTTTTCCGCCGTCACTTTTATTCCATCGTTCCGTACACACAGTAATTCTCTCCGTGCTCCGCAACTCGGACACTCCGATTTACTTCAGCATCGTCCGTGCATCCCCTTCCCACACACAGTGTTCTTCGCCTATTTCTTCACACACAGTGGTTTCCCTTCCACACACAGTGGTTCGTCTTCTATCTCCTCACACACAGTATCGCCGCTATCTCTTCACACGCAGTGACTTTCCCACACACAGTGGTTCGTCTTCTATCTCCTCACACAGTATCGCCGCTATCTCTTCACACTCAGTGACTTCCATCTATTCACACACAGTGACTCTATCTCCGCTAATGCTGACTCTCCCTATCGCTATTTACTGTCTTTGGGGTCCGGCTCTCTATCTATTCTTCCCTAACATTTCCAGCTGTCTTCTTCGTATCTCTTCACCTCTCGCCAACAACTGCCCAGCAACAACTCTCCAACAACAACTCCCCAGCAGCAACCCCTCTCCATTCAAACCACCTCGCGTTTTATCCCCTCTCGCATTAGCCTTAATTAATTGCCACGTGGCTCGCTGGCCGTTTCCCGCCAGCCCACACCTGTCCCCTTCATCAGACATCCAGACGCCACCACTTAACGCTAACAGCCTCTCGACCAATCACAGCCCTCGTGCCACGACTCCCTTAATTCCTTCGGGTTGTTTACGCCACCTGCGGCTCGACCACCTGTTTGACCTCATGTGACCCGTTCTCCTTGTCTGTCTGTATGTACTGTATATGGCCAATTCCTATGCGTATTATTTACTCCACTACACATCCACGGTGACTCGAGGGGCGCTTCCCTTCCTAGCCCACAGGAGAGCCCGGGGTGGGCCACAGGAACTAGCGAGCTGCATCTGGATGACGAGGTGGGTGAGCTGCATCTGTCTGCATTCCCTCTCTTCCACAGCACAGCCGAGCTGTGCCAGTGCTGTGCCGAGCCAGCCCGGCGTGTTTCAGGAGGCGCCAGGTTGGGTTTTTTTTCTTTTCCACTGCGGAAACTGAGCCATGCAAATAAGAAGAGACTATTTATTTGTGTCTTTGACCAAAATAGTTCGAGAGAGCCGCATCACGCGCGCAGAGCCACTTATACACAATCACAGCCACGGCAGCGCGGGTATAGAGCGGACGACGACAACCAACAACGCATTGTGGCCTCAAATAAACAAAATTAGTAATGGAATAAACTGTTGTTTATTTACTGTTTTTGTCCCCCTTTTGTTATTTTTTAACGCTACAGTTTGTGACTGTTGCACATTTGTCGTCACCAAGACATTCCACGGTGACCCCGTTCCCTGTCATATTGAATACATTATCCTGACGTAAAATTACGTTTAAGATTTAAGTTAAAAAAAGCATCTACCCACAAGGGGGAAGCCAACGAGCCATCGCATGCGGCTCCGGGGCCGCAAGTTGCCGACCCTTGCTTGAGTGTGGGCGCGTGCCTCGGTGGCTAGGAGATGTTAACTACCTCGCCTGGTATACAGGAGGTCCTAGGTTCGATCCCGACCCTGACGCCTGCTGCTGTATATTTGGAGTTAGCGGTGTTTCTCTCGCCCCGTGGTTCGCGTTAATTGTTCAACGGTTCCTTCCGGTTTAAATTTTAAATAACAAATGAATAAACTAAAACTATTACATGCATTACATCACATTACATTAATGTCGGCATCTCGAATAATAATATTACAGCTATTCAAAATTCTTGTTGGTGTACTGGATTTGTTCATGGACACCCTGTATAACACATTTATGAAAATTATCCCATTATTTTTTGTGTGGACACCTTCGCCACTTCTCGATGCGCAAACTCCAGCAGCAAACAAAACAACTCGGGTGCATTCCTCTTGGCGGTCGACGTTCCGAGTGACAATTGTGGCCCTTTCGATGGGAACAGTCACCCAGTCGCCCTCCTCCCGTGATCCGCGGATTAAAACAAATCAGTCGAGAAGTCGATGTACGACAGCCAGAGACGTTGCACGCGACTAATAACAAAGCAAGAGGGTTTATATCGCGAACTGTACGTGATGAATGAATGAATGCATATTCATCTATATATATAGTATCAATAATGCACACTTTTTGGGGCAAAGGTGTTTTTTTCTCTTGTTGTAATTTGTGCTTCACGGCACTGCTGACAACAGCTTATCAGCAACTACTCCGTTAACACAATGCACCCGGTATAAGTACAGCGGCTAAATTCGAATGAATACTCAGGCATGGGTATTTCATGAATTAATATTTCACGAATGGATATACATTTAAACATGAATGTTTCATGAATGATTATTCGTTCATAAATTAATATTTCATTGCTGTGAACAGCACTTCTGTTAACATCACTTGCCCCAACCGTCTGTTAAGGCTATACGGAGAATCGTTGTCTTGGTGCTCGCTAACAGCACTTGCCCCACCAGTCTGTGAAAGTCTTGACTTAAAGCTTTCGTGCCTACAGGAATTCACATTCTTTGGGGGTTTTCGTAAAGTCACGTAGATGGGTTGAAAAAAAATATATAACAAAACATCATTTTTTTCCTGATGACAACCGCTTGTGTCGCGATCGAAACGTCGTAGTTTTTTTGTTCTTTTTATTTTCTCTGAAGCTATCTAGGTGACTTTACCAATAAACCCAAAGAATAGTCTGTGAAAGGCTTTGAATGAATTCCCATTCATCACACGCAAGGTCATTTCTTTGTTGATACTTTGTCTACAGTGCAGCATGGCTTTTGTTCAGTTATACTCCTGAACTGGTATTCGTCACGGAAGTGGGGTTATTGTTACGAGATCCTCTAAAAAACTCTCGACCATACATTCCTCTCACCGAGGTAGCTTTGTGTGTGTGTACTAGGGCGTGGTGCTGACTACCCGCCCCCCGTCATGTGCCACAGTGTCGGCCTTCATAGGTGCTACTCGCTAACAGCATTTCCAACTGCAGTTTGTCAAAGGTTTTACGGGTTGATCTTTGTTAACCCATGCGGAATCTGGCGATTGCGATTTGATTTGCGATTAAAATTGTTTAAGTCACGCTTTAGTTAAATATTCAGTGTGATACATTTAAAACATGTGATTGAGCATTACCACATGATACCATCAAAATATGAACTGCTCTATATATTATAATGCAAGGATGAGATATGATACTCTTTGTTTCTTTCGGTAAAGTCACGTAGGTAGAAAAATAATACAATAAAATGAAACAAAAAATAGTATATTAAGACACAACGTTTCGATCGCAGCACAAGGTGTCGTCCTCAGGCGGAAAAAATAATCCAGCAGTGGAACTGCTGGATTATTTTGTGGAACTGCTGGATTATTTTGTGGAACTGCTGGATTATTTTTTTTCCGCCTGAAGACGACCGCGTGTGTTGCGATCGAAACGTCGTGATATATTTTTTTTGTATTTGATTTTATTATTTTTCTACCTACGTGACTTTACCGAAAGAACCAGAGTATGGATTCCTGCAGTCACGAAATCTTCAAATCAAGATTTATGAGATATGAATTTGAGATATTAATTTTAATTGAAATAGAACAATCAAACATAGAACAATTGTTAAGTTAAATAACTAAAGTTTTTATGATAAAAAAATGAAACAATTCGAATAGGAAAGTAATAGAACTTTTGAAATCGCAAAAAATCGCAGCCTTTGCGATTTGTTAATCGCATTGTTTCAAATTGAAGTTTCGATTTGAAATTGATTAATCGTTCAGCCCGAGTGGGTATGTACACCTGTTACTGGTGGCGCATTGGCCAGGTTGTACTTGTTAATTCTCGTGACGTTTTTTGTCCGAGTTGCTTTGGTGGGGGATGGCTTATAACGTGGATGGGGTTTTTGGGGGGGGGGTCCCTTGAGAGTCCATGAAAGCGTAGAAAACTCTTCTGCGTTGAGCCGCAATGTGCGGAGGACTGGGGATATTTTGGCCAAATATATATCAGTTACATTCTGTGTTGGTGCGGTTTTGATTTGGGAATGGGAGCGGTTAGGGCTACGCTGCACTGCGAATCTAGCGCCACGAGTTCGATTCGCGCTCACAACTAACACTAGTGACGATTATTTAAACCGGTCCTGGGCCTCGCCTAGGTCGACTTAGCCTGTGTATAAACATCGCCAATAGGGAGACAAAGGCGGTCGGGCGTGGTGCTGACCACCCGCCCCCCTCGTGTGCCACAGCGTCGGCCTTCATAGGTGATACTCGCTAACAGCACTTACCACAACAGTCTGTTCAAGTTTATACGGGGGAAAATTAGTTATCCCATGCGGGATCAGGCGAAGAACATTTACACAACTCTCTGCAGAAAAGCGCCCAGATCCGGAATTGAAATCAAAGTGAGTGTATAAACACCTTACAATGGGGGAAGGGGATCGTGAGCGAGTTGCGACCCGGGGGTCAGTGATTCAGTGATCGAGCTGGTGGAGGAGGGGGATGAGGATGTTTAAAAGGCGCGGCAGTTAACAGACGCGAAATCTTTCAGCTACGTTCTAAGAGAAAGATGCGCACGAGGAAAAACAAGCTCAGCCTTCTGCTGCTGCTGCTCGCCAGTGCGGGTGAGTGTCTCAGACTCTCACTCATACTCACACACAATATACTCACACTCATACTCACAGACAAGTTACTGACAGACTCTCACTTATACTCACACATATACTCACAAACGCTCACTCATACTCACACAAGATACGCACAGACTCTCACTCCATACTCACAGACGCTCACTCATACTCACACACAATATACTCACAAACGCTCACTCATACTCACACACAAGTTACTCACAGACTCGCACAAATTACTCACAGACTCTCAGCTCAATACTCATATACAAGATACTCATAGACTCGCACAGTTACTCACAGCTTCTCACTGAAACAGATACGCAGATACTCACAGACTCTCACACATACACACACACAAGATACAGACTCACACACATGCCAATCTTACTATACGTAATTTTTGTCTGCCTCTCTGTCTGTGTGTGTGGACACAACTTTCGACGGTTTTAACTCACAAACTTAGGGTTTTCGTTTCAAAATTACCCAGATACCATGCGACAAGCCCCGGGGTGAGCCAGCGCTATTCGTATTTCACATCCGTCAACTTTCAAGTAGTTAAAGTAACAATTAATTACTATTTATTATTATACTAGCGTGAAGTATCCTGCGTTGCCCGGGGGAAAAATTTATATTACAAAACTTATCTTAAAAACATAACATATACATACACAAGTACAAACAGTTTATGTATTTTTTATTTAAAGCTTTCGTGACTGCAGTAATTCATATTCTTAGTTTTTTTCGGTAAAGTCACGTTAAAGAGAAACAACTAAATAATAAAATATATATAAAACAATAAAAAAATTCTCACGACGTTTCGACCATAACTCAAACGGTCGTCTTCAGGTGTGTTGGTTCGCATAAATTTATTTTGAAACGGCGCATTTATTTATTTATAAAAAACGTTAGCTGCCACGCGCAACGATTTGGCAGTTTACCCAGGACTAGTCCATCTATATTCTGAAAAGAGGAGGGGGGAGACGAATTTTTTTATAATGTATGCTGTCTGAAAGCCACTGTAAGCGTGAACAATCAATTAAGACCTGAAATGGTTTATGAAATCTTTCCAATGATTGCTAAGATAGAATCCATCTTCTCGGTTGAAATTGTCTCTGTGCTTGTATATGTGGATAGCCTCATGAACGAATCTCTCATGGAAGCCAGATGGCTTACAAAGAACCTCTGTCTTGGAAAAGTCAATGGCATGTAAGCCTACTGAATTAGAACAATGATCTGCCACGGCCGAGGTGTTGGTCCTACCGTGTTTAAGGTCTGCTTTGTGTTCACAAAATTAAAGAATTACTCGACGATGGTAGTTATACAAAAATAAAAAAAAGAGATCCCACCAACAGCCTCGTCACAACAAACAACAAAATAATTTCTGATTCAACCGCATTAATTGATCAATCTAAACAGTTTTCATTGAAACCTTCTGCTGCCAGGCCACCAAGATTATACGGCTTACCAAAATACATAAAGTAGATACACCCCTTCATCCATAGTCTCTACTATCGGCTCCCCCACCTACAAACTAGCTCGTTTTTTGTCTGAAATCCTGCGTCCTTTCACTGGAAAGACCACCTGCGGTACAAAATTCTGCTCACCTGGTATCGACAATCAAGGGTATTTCCCTGTCCCCAGACGACCTGCTTGTCAGTTTTGATGTAGTTTCCTTATTCACCAAGGTTCCTGTACCTGACACCATTGCAATCATTGAAGACTTGGTTCATCAAGGCCTAAACACTGAGGTACCCCCCCTGGTGAGACACTGTTTAACCAATACATACTTCACTTGGAATGGAACTTTCTACAAACAAACTGAGGGCACCCCAATGGGCTCCCCCCTTTCTCCAGTTATAGCTAACATTTTCATGGAGAAATTTGAGACTGACGCCATCCAGACTGCCACTCTGCGCCCAACCTTATGGAAGAGGTACGTGGATGACACTTTTGTCATCTGGCCACATGGCCGGCCTGCTCTAGACCAATTCTTCGACCACATCAACTCCATACACCCAGCCATCAGATTTACCATGGAAGTCGAAATAGATGGCAAGATACGTTTTTTGGATGTCCTAATTAAAAAGAGACCTGATGGTTCAATGAGCCACTCTGTCTACAGGAAAGCTACCCATACGGATGCTTATCTGAAACCGTATTCCCACCACCATCCATCACAGAAGAATTCTCTCATCAAGACTCTGTATCATAGAGCCCAATGCATATCCGACCAGGAACACATAAGCAGTGAACTCAAGCACGTACACCAAGCTCTTAGGGCTAATGGTTACTCCGACTATACAATCCGCAAAGCTATCACTCAAACCATGAAGAAAGAACCCTCTTGAGGAGCCTTTCAAAACCATCACTTTACCCTACATTGCGGGATCACAAAAAAGATCTCCAAAATCTTGAATAAACACAAGATCCAGGTCCGTTTCAACACATTACATAAAATCCGTGATCTGGTTCCGTCTGTAAAAGATGTGATTCCGGACATACAGTACCCTGGTGTATACAATTGCCTCCGTGGTAGTAGTTACATTGGAGAAACCAAACGCCATGTCTCGGACCGCATTCGTGAACACAAAGCAGACCTTAAACACGGTAGGACCAACACCTCGGCCGTGGCAGATCATTGTTCTAATTCAGTAGGCTCACATGCCATTGACTTTTCCAAGACAGAGGTTCTTTGTAAGCCAACTGGCTTCCATGAGAGATTCGTTCATGAGGCTATCCACATATACAAGCACAGAGACAATTTCAACGAGAAGATGGATTCTATCTTAGCAATCATTGGAAAGATTTGATAAACCATTTCAGGTCTTAATTGATTGTTCACGCTTACAGTGGCTTTCAGACAGCATACATTATAAAAAATTTCGTCTCCCCCCTCCTCTTTTCAGAATATAGATGGACTAGTCCTGAATAAACTGCCAAATCGTTGCGCGTGGCGCTAACGTTTTTTATAAAATAAATAAATGCGCCGTTTAAAAATAAATTTATGCAAACCAACACACCTGAAGACGGACCGTTTGAGTTATGGTCGAAACGTCGTGAGAATTTTTTATTGTTTTATATATGTTTTATTATTTTGTTGTTTCCCTTCAACGTGACTTTACCGAAAAAAACTAAGAATATATATAGTTTTATGTATGTTTAGCGTTGGAAATGCACATCGCATGCCATCGATATATGGGCACTTACCTGTAGTTGCGGGCACAAGCCCCATAGAGGGAGCCACCCTGAGCTGGGGAAAGGTCAGGGAAAGCCAGACAATTGAGGGGCCCGGGCTCTCCCCCCCAGACCCCAGGTGTGGGTTGGGGGGTGCTTCCAGAGCCCCCTGGAAGTTCCAGAGAAGGGCGGTACGGGGCGGGAAGCCCCTGAGAGGTGTATTAAAGGGGCACCTCTGGACAGCTCGGGGCAGTGCTACGAAGAGAAAGGACTGAAGATCAGCTAAGCTAGAACCCTGGGACCTCGAGCATGCTGCCTTGTAAGGGCCGGATCGAGCTTGGACCAGTGGTCGGACCCGTACATTGGCTGGGTCAGGTCAGGATAGCCTCCCTAGCTAGGACCCTGGGACCTCGAGTCCGACGTCCTTCTAAGGGCCGGATCGAGCTTGGACCAGTGGTTGGACCCGTACATTGGCTGGGTCAGGTCAGGTAGCCTCCCCTAGGCCACCGATATCCGGAGGGCTAAGAGCTGAGTTACGAAGTGTGAGGTCACGTTAGCCCGGAGGCTGTACCTCCCTAGATAGTGTAAGTTAAGGGAGTTGTGTGCTAGTTAAACAATGAACCGTGTTGCCTCTATGAAAACAATCTTCGGCTCCATAAATAACTCACTACATTTGTTAACATTATTGTGAATGAATTTTTACGTTGTTAGGATAATTTTATATAAACTCTAATACTTCAAAGCAATGGAACTGTGAACCCAAATGATTGACCACATAATAAACCAGTGTGGGTCTCCGTTCTTCTTCAATGGAGGAATAACAGGACTGGACCAACAGAAACAACCAGGAAAAAACAGCAAAAATCTTCGAGAAAAAACATCGTATATCAACGCTGTGGCAAAAATCCCAGTGGATGCAAGTCAAACAATAACAACCATAGACAATTTAGATTAAAGTTATCAGGCTAACTCTGTACTTCAAACAAAACAAACATCAGGGCTTCACCATACATTTCAGAAATCACCAAAATAAAGCTATAAAAAAAATGTAACAGTGATCATAGGAAATGTGATTCAAATTTAACAATAACTATATAAAGGGTGTTTAACAATTTTGACCTGATTTGAAATCGCGATATCTCTGCAACACTAACGACCATGAATGAAACCTCTACCACTTGAAAGGGCAGGGCATAGATGTTCAAATCATTACCGCTCGATGCCTCTCGCAGCGCACCAACAGCCCCTAGCCTCAGTCATTCTCAAGATGGTGACCCCGCAAAACACAAGGCGTTTGGCGTCTGCAGTTCAGCAAGACAGAATCCGTAATTGCGGGTGCAGCATGCATTTCAACGGCGTTTTGGCATTGATCCGCCAATGTCAAAGAGCATTCGTCGTTGGTACCGACAATTTGAGGAAACGGGCTGCTGTTTATGTAAGGGGAAGAGCACAGGGCGACCACGCACCTCAGAAAAACGTGAGAAGAGAGGCGTTTGGGACGAATTCTACTATCGTTCTCGATGTTGTCCGTACAGCTGTTGAAGGGGATATGGAGCATTTATAAAATGGTTAATAAAACTTTATAAACTCATTAATCGTTTGTATCATTTGTGTAATGGTGGACATGTTTCCATCGTGAAAGATACTTGCTTTGATATTGGGTCCATCAATTTTAAACAAACCTGTACATAACATGTACGACCAAACTTTGCAGCCATATCTGGCAGCATGAGTCACTCCATAACAGCAGGTGTATCAAAATTTGTCAATGCACCTTTAAAGATCAGCACACTATAATAAAAACTCAAGGTCATACT